TAAAATATATGTAATGAATAAATATAATGATTAACAAAAATATAAACCTATCATATCACTATTCTTATATAATATATCAAATGACTTAAACTTCTATGCAATTGATGGTTCTATCCTTGTTGATAATGGGCCAGGAAAAATCCATTTGGAATAATTTTGGCCTGCCATTGGCCTTCCTTTCTCTTTCAAGCTCAAAGATTTGGGAGACAGAATTCCTGTGATACTTTTGTCCTGGAAATTGCTACAGGGTCATATGGCGCTATACTGTAGTGGATGAGACTAATTTTAGTTCTCATAGCACCATATTTCCTAACTTAGGGGTCCCCAACCCCTGGTCCGTGGACCAGAACCAGGCTGCGGCATGCCAGCAACTGGGCCGCACAAACAAACAAAGCCCCATCCGCAGGATGCAGTCAGCACACAAAACCACGCCCCCTCCAGTCCGCCAAAAAACCTCTCTCCAGGTAACCGGTCCCTGGTGTCCAAAGGTTGGGGACCTCTGTCCTAACTGACTGGGAGGTACATCCCACATGGTGGGTGGGGCTGATACAAATGGTGGGTGGAGTCAGAACCAAAAGTAAGTAGAACCATGTATCTCTATCATCGCCCTCCCTTTCTCATTTTGACATCCTTTTGACTGTCTCTCTGTTTAACCCATTGCTATCAAAGGAATATATATCACACATGTCAGAAATCTGAATTGATTGCCTAGAGAAGGATTTTGAAACCAAAGGCCTTGTGAAATTAGGTAAAAGGCACCTCTTTCTCAGTCTTGGAGAAATAATTCTTTCTAAACAAGGGATGCCGTAATTGAGAATAATTGCCAGTTGCTTGTCGGGGGATTACTGCTATTTTTCCTGGGCAAGTAGGGAGAAGTGGCTAATTAACCTGTGATGGAGGAAGGCATCACCTTAAGCTGAGCATCCTTTGTATCATGCATGTATGCATGCCCAGGCTCTCTTTATGTTCTAATTCTGTGTACTTGACTTGAAGGCCTCAGCACCTGTCTGGATTGCAAATGGTTCGTGCTCTATGTGATGGACAGATGGAAGGTGGAGACATCGGGTCAATAGAGATCACTTTCACACCTGGGAAGATCAAGGGTGGAGCTCACATAGCAGACACTAAAACAGCAGGGTATTGTTATTTTGCATTTGTACGGTATTAATTAGCACTCGGTTTTGAAGCAATCTTATACAGTACATTAAAGCTATAGAATTGTGTCTTTCCAAGTGTATTTCACACAATCCTACTATCAACAGTCAGTAAAGGGATGGCTAAGTATGATATGGGAATTGTGGTCCAATGCATCTAAAATACACCCAACTAACAAAGGTCTTGCTACAAAATGAAATAAAAGATACAAATACATACACACACATATACCTTATATTTTATTACTGTATGTCCTGATTTTTTTGTGGGGTAGATTTTTCTGCTATTTTCTAAGAATAATTCTTTTGTAAAGAGCATTTTTCTCTTCTATGGATTTTTCCCTTTTGTGGATCCCGGAGCCTTTTGATTGAAGTCCAGTTTCTGCAACTGCAAAATCCTATCACCAAATTACAAGTGCAGAATGACTCAGAATTTCAAAGTTGAGATTAACCAGTTGTTGAATTAACAGCGGAATGGCTTAGTTCCAATCCTGTTTAGCTATGAAGCTGGCTGAGTGACTTGGAGCCAATTGTTTCCCCTCTAAATTAGTGTTTCTTAAAGTGTGGACTTAGGACCTTTGGGGTCCTGTAAGACACTCTCAGGGGTCAAAATTATTTGCCAAGCCTTTGTTGAAATACAATATTAAAATGTCATCAGTTAATGAGAAGCAGTAGTGGCAACAAATGCAGCAGTTTTAATTTTTAATGCAGTGAATATTGGTAAATGTAATATTTAAGAACAAAAGTTCTTTTGGGTCCTCCATAATTTGTAAAAGTGGAGAGAGAAAAAAAGTTTAAGAACTACTGCTCTAAAGCATAGTGAGCGTAAAATGGAAGGTGGGTGAGAAAGAAAACCATAGATGTCTTTCCCCTAGACCAGGGGTAGGCAACCTTGGCTCTTTTATGACTCGTGGCTGGCTCAGGAATTCTGGGAGTTGAAGTCCACGAGTCATAAAAGAGCCAAGGTTGCCTACCCCTGCCCTAGACAGCTCAAGAAGGGAGAGTGTAAAAGTAGCAACAAAATCATAGAGTTGAAGGGGATATTTAGGCATTTTGAGTCCCACTCCTTGCTGGGAACATAATGAGAACATAAATCTAATTTTGTCTATGCATTTTTTTTTAATCATAGGAGTGTTTGCTTGCTAATGCAAGTAGCCATGCCCTGCGTCCTTTTTGCAGCCTCTCCTTCTGAGCTCCGTTTGAAAGGCGGCACCAATGCAGAGATGGCTCCTCAGATTGACTATACATTGATGGTAAATGGAAGTTCATGTGCTTAAAGTTGGGCTTTTGATCTTGCCGACCCAATTAGCCTTCATTTGGGGTTGTTTCACCGTGGACTTATCCGGTTAGTTTTATCAGTGCAGACACTGGGAATGTATTCACTATATTTGCTGGTCCTCAAGCATTTTTAATCACGCATCTACCTGAAAGTATGGCAGAAAAGAAAAGAAAATGCTTTTAAAAGTTGATGTGATAAATTAAGTGGGCTTAAATCAAGCATAGGAGATTCCAATCAGGAGGCTCATGAGCCAAGACTCACCCCTTTTTTATATGCGCCGCCATGTTAACTTTTTAAAGCTTGCGCAACATATTTGGAGAAGCGGTGATAAGGTTTTTTAGAACAGTGTTAAAGCAAGTTAAAACTGCCTTAATCTATTCAGGTTGTAATAAATGCCTCCATGTCTTATTCATTTGGAAACTTGATTCATACTTGTCAAATCAAGTGAATGGTTATTTCCGAATTTTGTTTGCTTCTTGTAAGTTGGACACTAAATATTTTTATTACTGAAATAATAGGATTGTGTGGATCATATGGCACATTCTGCCCACATTGCAAAGAGGGTGATTCAAATATAATCGGTTGTTTTATTTTTATTCATTAGATATTTTTTAGTCCAAACTGTGTCTTAAGTGAAAAACAGAGAGACTGTGAGGTCCTTAGTGCTCTCTGAGTTTGGTGGGTTTTTTTGCAAACATTTCATTACCAAACTAGGTAACATCATTATGATGATCAAATTCAATAATCATCATTAGCCTTTTTGATATTACTTAATTTGGTGATGAACTGTCTGCAAGAAACCAAACAACAACTAATCAGAGAGCATAAAGGATTACATAATTTAATCCTGACCTACAAATATTCTCTTCTGTTGGAAAAAAGAGAATGAGAATGATTTTGTCTGCCTGAAAAGAAATAAAATGGCATATTACCCCTCCTTCTAACTCTTTCTCCGGGGTATCTGCTACATTGCCTCATGTCACATAAAATGATAGTCAATATGAGCTTGAAAACACTTGACGCGTTCCTTTTCCTTTATGTCCAAGGGAGTATCTGTGAGATTCTACTAATTTGTGGCAGATTAGAATATAAGCGATTTGCACAGATTATAGTTTGTCCTTAAAACATGAAGAAGTTCTAGCTTTTGATAGCAAACTATTGTCCATAGAAATTGCAGTTTTCCGTACTCAGATAAAATAATGAGGCCTTCAGATACATAGATATACTGTTTTCTGCATCAATCTGGCAACATGATTTAATAAATTTAATAAATAAATAAATAAATAAATAAATAAAATGATTAAAGGGTTCTTTATTCATTAAAAGGATGTACCTATGTTTTTCAATAAATGTGTTTACTCTCCAGGTCTTCAAGCCAATAGCTGAAAAGTTTGGTTTGATTGTAGACTGTGACATAAAAAGGAGGTGAGTTCCAGTGGTATGTTGACTTGTGTCTTCTCTCTGTGTTTGCACGTTTCCATCTCCAATAACTTTCCTGCATTTTGGCGACAAAAGATACTCCCTTCCTTTTGCTTATGACCTGCTGTAGTGGCCTTCTGAGTCAGAAGCCATTAAAAGTAAGTGCAGCCTCTGAAAACTAGAGAGAAGCTTCCCTTGAACTCTTTCATAACTTGTCCAAGTTGTTAAATGATGGGGAGAATAACATACATTGTATTTATTAAATTATGACACAAATTGTCTCTTGATTTTCTCCTTTGCTTCTTTGTCCCGGTTTCATCATCTTTTTGGAACTTGCACATCGATGATTTTAGATCCAGAGGACTAGATGTGCCATAGGAGTAAAGGGTGAGGTGATAGCTCCTTCCGTTCTTGAGCTGTCTCCTCTAAGAATATTTACTTGCTTGATCCCTAATGTTCATAACATGCTTGTGGGCTTATCAAAGATACTCTAATGGGGTGTGGAGTAGGACAAGGGTCCTCAACTCCCGGTCTGTGGACCGGTACCGGGCCATGGCATGCCAGCAACCGGTCCGCACAAACAAGCAAAGCCCCATCCATGGTATGCAGGCAGCACACAAAAACCACGCACTCTCCTGTCCGCAGAAAAATCTTTCTCCATGGAACCTGTCCTTGGTGTCCAAAAGGTTGAGGACCTCTGGTGTAGGAAATAGAGCACTAGATTAAATCAGCCTTTTGCAGGAGTGCTATTTATGTTTAAGAAGGTTTATTTTTAATGGCAAAAATATCAACTCATTATTTTGAGCTCTGTTTGTGTGTTATTATTTTCAACAGGGGCTACTATCCGAAAGGGGGCGGTGAAGTGGTTGTCCGAATGTCCCCAGTTAAGCAGCTAAACCCAATCACTTTAACTGACCGTGGTACGGTGACCAAGATCCATGGAAGAGCCTTTGTAGCTGGGGCTTTGCCAATCAAAGTAAGTATGTCTGATAGATTTAGGTGAGGAAAAGAGCTTGTCCTGTAAGATTTGGATCCAAAGTTGGACTGAATTCACACTGCTTTTAAGTTATAAAAATAGTTTGGTTTAGTTAACATGTTAGAATTTGTAAATGATAGCTTATGATTTCCTAGAAGGAATACACCAGTCCTCTGGTTATTAGCAAGCTATTGTTATGCTAACTATGTCTTAGAAAGATGCCATGCTGCCTTGAAAAATAATATGGGCAATTTCGTTATAATAGCAACATAGTAGAGTGATCATTTTACAGTTCTCCACTTGTGCCATATTAAGAAATTTGTTACGCAGTCGTAAGGCTAAAAATAATTAGCTCCATTGTGAAATAGATTCTTTGCCTGAAGAAGATCCCAGATCCCGTCCTTTAATTGGCATCTTCAGTTACAACGGGACACCAAAGCAAATAAGAAGGACATTTGCCTAAGACAGGGGTAGGCAACCTTGGCTCTTTTATGACTCATGGACTTTAACTCCCAGAATTCCTGAGCCAGTATGGCTGGCTCAGGAATTCTGGGAGTTGAAGTCCACGAGTCATAAAAGAGCCAAGGTTGCCTACCCCTGGCCTAAGATACGGCAAAACTGGTTCTGGTCAAAGTTCACAGTAGTGGACAAGATAGACAGATAGCCTAACCTGTTACAATACAGCATTTTGAAAGATGGTGATTATGACTATCTCCTAAATGTGCCCAGGATTCTGATTATAAGAGCATCGCCAAATAGATCATTACAAAAGACGAATAAGTAATCCCCCAAAACCCTGAGTCTCTGTGCCAAATATGTTATATGAAAACACTGGTGTATAACAACTTCTGAGAATCTGGCTCTCACCTTCGTCCAGAAAGTTATTTGATAACTTTAGAAAAATCATTTTTTNTTTCCGGCGGGTGCCTTACCTCCCTTGAGCTGGGCCAGCTGGTGGTCGGCCTGCTCCGTCTCTGCCGCTTGCCAGCTACGCCTCGGCCGGCGCAGGGGGCGGAACCACGCATGCGCGGCGCTCCCGGGCAGGGAAAGTCCTCGACTTACGACCGGTTGGGTAGTCCTCGACTTACGACCGGTTTAGTCCTCGACTTACGGCCGGTTTAGTCCTTGACTTACGACCGGTTTAGTCCTCGACTTACGACCGGTTGGGGGTCGCGGCATTAAAAAGGTTGACAACCATTGCCCTAGACAGCTCAAGAAGGGAGAGTGTAAAAGTAGCAACAAAATCATAAGAGTTGAAGGGGATATTTAGGCATTTGAGTCCCACTCAAATCTAATTTTGTCTATGCATTTTTTTTTTAATCATAGGAGTGTTTGCTTGCTAATGCAAGTAGCCATGCCCTGCGTCCTTTTTGCGGCCTCTCCTTCTGAGCTCCGTTTGAAAGGCGGCACCAATGCAGAGATGGCTCCTCAGATTGACTATACATTGATGGTAAATGGAAGTTCATGTGCTTAAAGTTGGGCTTTTGATCTTGCCGACCCAATTAGCCTTCATTTGGGGTTGTTTCACCGTGGACTTATCCGATTAGTTTTATCAGTGCAGACACTGGGAATGTATTCACTATATTTGCTGGTCCTCAAGCATTTTTAATCACGCATCTACCTGAAAGTATGGCAGAAAAGAAAAGAAAAGAAAAGAAAAAGCTTTTAAAAGCCGATGTGATAAATTAAGTGGGCTAAAGTCAAGCACAGGAGGTTCCAAACACTCAGAAGGCTCATGAACCAAGACTCACCCCTTTTTTATATGTTGATGCGCCCCAATGTTAACTTTTTATAGCTTGCGCAACATATTTGGTGAAGCGGTGATAAAGTTTTTTAGAACAGTGTTAAAGCAAATTAAAACTGCCTTAATCTATTTAGGTGGTAATAAATGCCTCCATGTCTTATTCATTTGGAAACTTGATTCATACTTGTCACAATCAAGTGAATGGTTATTTCCGAATTTTGTTTGCTTCTTGTAAGTACTCAGTTGGACAGTAAATATTTTTATTACTGAAAATAATAGGATTGTGTGGATCATAGGGCACATTCTGCCCACATTGCAAAGAGGGGGATTCAAATATAATCGGTTGTTTTATTTTTATTGATTAGATTTGTTTTAGTCCAATCTATGTCTCAAGTGAAAAACACAGAGACTGTGAGGTCCTTAGTGCTCTCTGAGTTTGGTGGGTTTTTTTGCAAACATTTCATTACCAAACTAGGTAACATCATTATGATGATCAAATTCAATAATCATCATTAGCCTTTTTGATATTACTTAATTTGGTGATGAACTGTCTGCAAGAAACCAAACAACAACTAATCAGAGAGCATCAAGGATTACATAATTTAATCCTGACCTACAAATATTCTCTTCTGTTGGAAAAAAGAGAATGAGAATGATTTTGTCTGCCTGAAAAGAAATAAAATGGCATATTACCCCTCCTTTTAACTCTTTCTCCGGGGTATCTGCTACATTGCCTCATGTCACATAAAATGATAGTCAACATGAGCTTGAAAACACTTGACGCGTTCCTTTTCCTTTATGTCCAAGGGAGTATCTGTGAGATTCTACTAATTTGTGGCAGATTAGAATATAAGCGATTTGCACAGATTATAGTTTGTCCTTAAAACATGAAGAAGTTCTAGCTTTTGATAGCAAACTATTGTCCATAGAAATTGCAGTTTTCCGTACTCAGATAAAATAATGAGGCCTTCAGATACATAGATATACTGTTTTCTGCATCAATCTGGCAACATGATTTAATAAATTTAATAAATAAATAAATAAATAAAATAAATGATTAAAGGGTTCTTTATTCATTAAAAGGATGTACCTATGTTTTTCAATAAATGTGTTTACTCTCCAGGTCTTCAAGCCAATAGCTGAAAAGTTTGGTTTGATTGTAGACTGTGACATAAAAAGGAGGTGAGTTCCAGTGGTATGTTGACTTGTGTCTTCTCTCTGTGTTTGCACGTTTCCATCTCCAATAACTTTCCTGCATTTTGGCGACAAAAGATACTCCCTTCCTTTTGCTTATGACCTGCTGTAGTGGCCTTCTGAGTCAGAAGCCATTAAAAGTAAGTGCAGCCTCTGAAAACTAGAGAGAAGCTTCCCTTGAACTCTTTCATAACTTGTCCAAGTTGTTAAATGATGGGGAGAATAACATACATTGTATTTATTACATTATGACACAAATTGTCTCTTGATTTTCTCCTTTGCTTCTTTGTCCCGGTTTCATCATCTTTTTGGAACTTGCACATCGATGATTTTAGATCCAGAGGACTAAATGTGCCATAGGAGTAAAGGGTGAGGTGATAGCTCCTTCCGTTCTTGAGCTGTCTCCTCTAAGAATATTTACTTGCTTGATCCCTAATGTTCATAACATGCTTGTGGGCTTATCAAAGATACTCTAATGGGGTGTGGAGTAGGACAAGGGTCCTCAACTCCCGGTCTGTGGACCGGTACCGGGCCATGGCATGCCAGCAACCGGTCCGCACAAACAAGCAAAGCCCCATCCATGGTATGCAGGCAGCACACAAAAACCACGCACTCTCCTGTCCGCAGAAAAATCTTTCTCCGTGGAACCTGTCCTTGGTGTCCAAAAGGTTGAGGACCTCTGGTGTAGGAAATAGAGCACTAGATTAAATCAGCCTTTTGCAGGAGTGCTATTTATGTTTAAGAAGGTTTATTTTTAATGGCAAAAATATCAACTCATTATTTTGAGCTCTGCTTGTGTGTTATTATTTTCAACAGGGGCTACTATCCGAAAGGGGGCGGTGAAGTGGTTGTCCGAATGTCCCCAGTTAAGCAGCTAAACCCAATCACTTTAACTGACCGTGGTACGGTGACCAAGATCCATGGAAGAGCCTTTGTAGCTGGGGCTTTGCCAATCAAAGTAAGTATGTCTGATAGATTTAGGTGAGGAAAAGGGCTTGTCCTGTAAGATTTGGATCCAAAGTTGGACTGAATTCACACTGCTTTTAAGTTATAAAAATAGTTTAGTTTAGTTAACATGTTAGAATTTGTAAATGATAGCTTATGATTTCCTAGAAGAAATACACCAGTCCTCTGGTTATTAGCAAGCTATTGTTACGCTAACTATGTCTTAGAAAGATGCCATGCTGCCTTGAAAAATAATATGGGCAATTTCGTTATAATAGCAACATAGTAGAGTGATCATTTTACAGTTCTCCACTTGTGCCATATTAAGAAATTTGTTACGCAGTCGTAAGGCTAAAAATAATTAGCTCCATTGTGAAATAGATTCTTTGCCTGAAGAAGATCCCAGATCCCGTCCTTTAATTGGCATCTTCAGTTACAACGGGACACCAAAGCAAATAAGAAGGACATTTGCCTAAGACGGGGGTAGGCAACCTTGGCTCTTTTATGACTCATGGACTTTAACTCCCAGAATTCCTGAGCCAGTATGCCTGGCTCAGGAATTCTGGGAGTTGAAGTCCACGAGTCATAAAAGAGCCAAGGTTGCCTACCCCTGGCCTAAGATACGGCAAAACTGGTTCTGGTCAAAGTTCACAGTAGTGGACAAGATAGACAGATAGCCTAACCTGTTACAATACAGCATTTTGAAAGATGGTGATTATGACTATGTCCTAAATGTGCCCAGGATTCTGATTATAAGAGCATCGCCAAATAGATCATTACAAAAGACGAATAAGTAATCCCCCAAAACCCTGAGTCTCTGTGCCAAATATGTTATATGAAAACACTGGTGTATAACAACTTCTGAGAATCTGGCTCTCACCTTCGTCCAGAAAGTTATTTGATAACTTTAGAAAAATCATTTTTTTGTTTTTGTTTTTACCTCAGTCTCCCATCTGCTGAATGAGTCAAATAAGCCAGGTCACCTATAAAGCTGCTCTGTAGTTTAGGAGGTAACTGATCACAGGGCTGAGATTTGCTGTGAAAGAAGGTTTCCAGATGAGACCTCCTTTCTATAGCAGGGTTATCTTATCAGTGGTCCTAAGACTGCTTGACACCATCCAGAGTCTTTGATGTGGTCTCCAGAACCTCTCCAGAATTTGCATTGATCTTGCAGTTGTTTTTTCTTCACAAAAAAAACCTCAATAAACCGGAGGGCCGTAGTCTTATTCCTGTGTATGATTCAATTTAAAGACGTTCGTGTTTATTTTTTTCCCCAACTTACTTGAGTTCAGCCCCTGACTTGCCACTCAAACACCAAGTAGAGACCTCAACCTGAAACGGGTTTAGGTTGTTCTGTACAAAACTCTGTACGAATGGCAGGGAATCATCAGGCGAGCTACTTTAAGCAAACAGTCTCTAGATCAGCTTTTCAGGAGACGCTATTTGCAAATTTCTGCAAAATTAACAATCTTTCCCCTCTTTCCATGTGAAATACACATATGATGGAAAGCCCTTGCATTGGGAATTCCATGTATTCCTCTCTTTTTTTGTTACTTTAGGTGGCCAGAGATATGGCTTCCGCTGCAGTGAAATGCATCAGGAAAGAGATTCGGGATCTTTACGTCAATATTCAGACTGTTAGAGAGCCGGATAACGAGGCCTTTGGAACAGGATCTGGAATTATGTGAGTGAGTTTGGCTGTCCTTTGAGAGTCCAGTTTATTGCCATAGGAAGCCAACTGGTTTCTTGTGAGCTGCTTTTTGGGGAGAGAAAAGGAAGGGTGAGCTTCAATGTTTTCATATAATTCTATAAGTTTTTACTTTGTTTAGAATTGTTGCAGAGACATCCACTGGCTGCTTGCTGGCAGGATCATCCCTTGGTAAAAGAGGTGAGAGCTTTAGGCACCGGGACATTGCTTCATGCGACTTGGCCTCCTCAGTACCTGTTTTGTAGAAGGCTCTGGCTTTATGGTAATAAACTAAAAGAATGGCGGTGTCTTCCAGTTCCTTTCTCTGGCTTATATCCATTCTATGTTCTTATCTGATGATAGCTTCATTATGACTTTCTTCCTTCCTTTCTTCCTTCCTTCCTTCCTTCCTTCCTTCCTTCCTTCCTTCCTTCCTTCCTTCCTTTCTTCCTTCCTTCCTTATTTTATTATTTTATTTTATTTTATTATTTTATTTTTTTTAATTTTTTTTAAATTTTTTTTATTTTATTACTTTATTTTATTTTATTTTATTTTATTTTATTTTTTTTATTTTATTTTATTTTATTTTTTTTTATTTTATTTCTATTCTGCCCATCTCCCTGATAAGGCAGTTCTGAGTGGTATATAAATTTAATAAATAAATAATATTCCCAATAAGGCAACGTGGGTCTTCTAGTCCAAAAGATGTCTTATTACAAATAGAGAGCTTGCCCTGGCTGAGTCTCTAAGGCTGGTTCTGAAGAGGAAGCATGTGTGTGTTTGTATATGTGTGTACATATATCATTTCCTCCATATACTTCATTTGTATGATTATGTCAACATGCTTCGGATCCATTGCATGCAAAGTTCATTGTATCAAGGTTCACTAAATTGGGCTCTCTCTATAGCACATATTTGGAGGAGCCACAATAGCCATACGTGTTATAATAATAATAATAAAGTTGGAAGGGACCTTGGAGGTCATCGAGTCCAACCCCCTGCTCAGGCAGGAAACCCTATACCATTTCGGACAGATGGCTGTCCAGTCTCTTCTTAAAAACTTCCAGTGTTGGAGCATTCACTGCTTCTGGAGGCAGGTTGTTCCATTGGTTAATTGTTCTAACTGTCAGGAAGTTTCTCCTTAGTTCTAAGTTGCTTCTCTCCTTGATCAGTTTTGTTATGTTATGTTATGTCATGTTATGTTATGTTATAGTTCATTCTAAATCAGATATAACTTCCTGAGTATCTGATATCAAATTTCATCACAAAGCAAAACTTCATAACTCTCCCTGGCTACCTTGTGAAAGTGAATGAAGGCCTTTTATAATTTTAAACCATCCAAAGGTAGAAATCTGCTCCGAACATATTTTCATTTATTGAGGAGGCAATCGTGTTAGAAGCATTTTATTTAAACCAGGTTCCCTACTTAATTTTTCTCGCAGGTAAAAATGCAGACAAAGTTGGAATTGAAGCAGCGGAGATGTTGCTGGGAAACCTTCGGCATGGAGGTGCTGTGGATGATTATCTGCAGGACCAAGTAAGAGCTGCGTGTGGGAAGTCTCTCACAAAAAAAAAGCTGAAATATCACATATACACCTTCTCGTACATGTAAATTAGGGATCCAAGGAGTTATTAATTCAGAATCCAGGTTTTCTCAGTCTATCGCCCACCAGCTGTGATAGCCTATGAGTCTTGTCATCTTGAGTGATAGGTGGACAGGAGTTGTAATCCAACACAGCTGGAGAGTGAAGTGAGGAGAAAGCTCTAATAATTCCTGAGCTTTATTAGGAGCATACTAATAAGGAAATACTCTGACATTTCCAGCAGGTTGATAAATTTCAGACCAACCTCACTGGAAAAACAAAATAGACACTCCCTTCCTTTTTGTTTGTTTTTAACACCATTTCCATTTGGTTGTATACCTTGAAGGAGAATAAACTTAAATAAACCCTTGAGAGGTTGAACTTTCCATTATGTTGGGGGAAGCAGGCTGGTGTCCTAGGAGAGCTTTAAGCCACATGGATTCCTGAGTTTCCCCTTTTCTTGCATACTCAGTTGGGAAGTATGCAAGAAGACAGGAAACCCAGCTTTCTGCAGTTGGGATTTTCTGGCATTGGAAATTCCAGCAGAGGTGGCTGTTAGTGAAAATGGGAAGGCGGATCTGGCAAAAAAAACCCCACTTAATTCAGCAGACCTTATTCTCAGATCATTCACTGGGAAAGGTTCTCTTTCAATTCCACCTGCAGTTTTGAAAAGCCACCTTTATAACTTTGCAAATTTTGATACAAAATTTGGGGCTTACATTTCTGCAGCCTTATTTTTCTGTAAACCTGCCTTTTTTTGGGGGGGGGGGGAAAGGTAAACTGATGTTCTCACGATGCTAAATAGTTGCGTTAATACAAAATAGCTTGAGATGAAAGTTTACCAAAGTGATGCCCATCTTCGCGCCGTTTTGGCTTGGGTTTTCAACAATGTCCTCAGTAAGATTGACCAAACTGGGCCCACTAATGAACTCTGTTTAACTAGTAACAATAATAAAGCAGCAAGCTAAAAATTAGCCAGAATCTTTCCAGAGCTTTAGAACCTTGTGTGAAACTGGAAAAGGTTGTAGAGTTAGTGTATTTTACAATAGAGATGGAAAAATATGTTGTAAGAGGACACTCATGTTAATCTATGGTGGGAACAGGGGTCTCCGGTCCCTGGGTCACGGCCCACTCCCAGGATGTGGCCTATTTGGAACCAGGCCACATGAGTGGCAGGCTGGCGTGCATGCACAGCTCAACTTGTGTGAGCGGCAAGCCAACGCATGTGCAGTTCAACTTGCGCAAGTTGAGCTGTGCGCCTGGATGCACGCCAGCCCGTCACTCACGTGGCCCGGTTCCCTTCCCCCCCCTTCCAGGCCCCCAAGCCACAAAGGTTGGGGACCACTGTGGTAGAACCTTTTCTGACTAATACATTTTATTACCGGTAAGTAATAATAAGTAAGATTACTTTATAAATATATTTAAGTTCAGTGGCACTTATTCCCTAATTATATCTTCAGGATTGCAACCATACATTTTTCAGCGACTTGGCTGGTTGTAATCAACTCAGATAATTCAGAATGGTGCAAGCAAAAACGTCTAGAAAGAAAGGCACTCCATAAAAAGATGCTCCAGTCAGATAGTCAAAGAATGTGTCTTCTTTTTTTTTATAACACGGAGTATTGCATCCAGGCATTCATAATGCTGGCTTGTTTTTGATCCCCTCCAGCTGATAATTTTCATGGCTTTAGCAAATGGGAAATCGAGAATAAAAACTGGACCAATTACGCTGCACTCCGAAACAGCGATACATTTTGCTGAACTGCTGACAAAAGTAAGTACCAGGGTTTTTTTAACGGATCGGTTGAACTTCCAAATCTCTCAGTCTGGCCAGTAGTGGTATATGGCATGATCTCTAGTGAAAAAAATGGGCTGGCACTGGGAAGCAAAAAATACAATGATGCCCTTCACAATTCCACGTATACAGGAAAGAATGGCAATTACTTTCAACATATTGAGCCTAAGGTAGGATGCATAACAATTGCAGCTTACATCCTTACTGCCCTCCAGCACCTCCTCCTTGAGGTAGCTGACTTGCCTTGTCTACTGGCTGGATTATGGAGTATCTGCTTGAAGATACGATCTTTAACCATCCCCATTTTGTGCAATGGGTGCATGCCAGCAGGATACAAACTTGAAATTTCCCTGGGTATCATTAGCAGTAGCACATATCAGATATAACAAAGTCATTTGGGGGATGGCACTCTGACTTCAGAATGCTCTCTTTGGGGAAATTGAAGTAGTGCTTAGATTACAGCAGGGGTCTTCAAACTTGGCCCTTTTATGACTTGTGGACTTCAACTCCCAGAATTCCTCAGCCAGCATGCCAGGCTGAGGAATTCTGGGAGTTGAAGTCCACAAGTCATAAAAGGGTCAAGTTTGAAGACCCCTGGATTACAGTATTAAGAAATATCACCTTACAAGTAGTTTGAAGACCCCTGGATTACAGTATTACGAAATATCACTTTACAAGTAGTCCTCACTTACCGACTGCCTTGTTTAGCAATCATTTAAACTTATGACAGTGCTGAAGAAGGAGGTTTATAACCAGTCCTTGAACTTACGGCCATCACAGCGTCCTTGCGATCATGTGATTACAGTTTGGCACTTCATAATCATCCCATAGTGACATGATCGCCATTTGTGACCTTCAGAGCTGGTGTCTCACAAGAGGAAGCTGGCCTGAACTCATAAGTTCAGATATGTTGCATTTAATGACCGATGGTGATTTGCTCAATGACTGTAGCAGAATTGATGGAGGTCCGGTGCAATCACATGACTTTAGTTGCTGGTCCCAATTGCAGTCGGTAAATGGGGATTATCTGTATTTGTAATTTTTGAATGTTTTGTGTGTTGCCCTGTGCCTGGAGTCCACTTTATGTGAAGAACAATTTTAGAAAGCGTGGGTTCTTTTTGTTTATTGTTTGCAGGCTAAGTTTACCGTGACAAAATCAGAAGATGAAGAATCTTCCAAGGATACCCATATTATTGAGTGCCAAGGAATCGGATTGCTAAATACAAATCTGTAATTATTGCTCTGGGTGGGATGGTGTTATGTTTATTTTGGTTTGTTTTTCTTTAAATATCTGTATAAATGTATTGCACTTCATTCACTGGAATGTTTGAATAAAGCACTTCCTTAAATTCCCTTTATTATTAAAGTAATAATAAATAAATGTACTTATTTATTGGGCTTATATCTTGCCTCAGCCCAAAGACTATTAGTGGCTTATGTGATAGAAAAGGGTTAATTAAACAATCGCACCTAAAATTCAACATTTTAATTTGGACTTATTTCTCTCCTCCCCCCCCCCCAAAAAAAACAACAAAAAACTGTGGACAAAATCTGTTGTTTCCAAAGCTGTCCGGACAACTGATAGTATTTGCATCACAAGGACAGTGATGTTTTTTCACCATTTGTATCCTCTTTTTGACAAAATGATCCTTCAATGATATAAATAATGTCAGTTAGAATTTAAGGAATATCCCTTCTCTGTCCTAAACTAAATTGTAGTTTAAACTGAAATAGGCTTATCAGATCTAGGTTTCAAAATGCCAGATCCCTCAGTTTTAACAATTTCCCATCTTATTAGGCCACAAAACAATTCTGACACCTTAACTGCAACATTGCTTGCTTTAAATTCAATTCAATATAACTTAACTTTGTGAGGGGAGGGAGGAAGGAAGGAAGGAAGGAAGGAAGGAAGGAAGGAAGGAAGGAAGGAAGGAAGGAAGGAAGGAAGGAAGGAAGGAAGGAAGGAAGGAAGGAAATTTCTATTGTTTTCCACTCCATTTTGTCTAATGGTTAATCACCAGGCTAAAAAGAAGACCATGAGTTCTAGTCCCACAGTAGCCATGAAAGCCATCTGGGTGACCTTGGGCCAGCCCCTCTCTCAGCCCAATTTATCATACAGGGTGGTGGTTGTTGGGAAAAGAAAAGGAGGAAGGTGTGTTGGATATGTTTACTGCCTTGAGTTATTTGTAAAAACAAAGATGGCATACGAATAAGGAAAGGAAGAAGAAGAAGACAGACTATTGATTTCAAAGTCCCAACACTCCACTCATCTCAAGGACAATGGTAGAAACAGGTTAAGAGCATAAATGTTCCTTTGAAAGTAAAGCTCTGTTGCCATTATTCTGTTAAGCTTCTTATCTGGAGCTCCATTGCCATAACCTGAGCTCCTTTATCTTCAACTGATTTCACTGCTTATGCAAGGACTCCTCTCAGACACCCAACTGTAGCCAGAAGAGGCTGTAGGAGACATACGTTTTGTTCTTTCTGCCTTTAAAAAGATTGTGAGGAATAGCCAGCCATAATGTCTGATCAGATCCCGAGATCAAAGGTACAAGAAAGAGGAGGAGCTGATTAAGATTAGTGCAAACCTCCCCAAGGGGTAAAGCAATCCAGAATTTAATTGGCACCTTCCCGATGTCTGGCATCTTCCAATGTTCACCACTCTGCAGTTAATGCCAGCTTTTTAAGCATACTTAACATTTCAGAAAACCCCAAGTTTGGGAATCTGGCGCCCTCTAGAGCTGTAGTGGCAAACCTATGGCATGGGTGCCACAGGCGGCACGTGGAGCCGTCCCTGTGGGCACGTGCGCCATCGCCCCAGAGGGAGGCGGGGCCAGGCTGCTCCCCTCCGCCTCTCCACATGCGCCTGCGCTCTTGCTCCTGGCCGTGGGGGGGCGCTAAATCTCTCTGAAGGCATAGATCCGGGCAGCAGAGGCCATGCCCACCCAGAGGGCCACGCCCACCTAGCACCCAGCAATACATAAGTGGGTTTTGGGTTGCAGTTTGGGCACTCGGTCTCTAAAAGGCTCGCCACCACTGCTCTAGAGGCTAAAACCTGCAGACATTGTTCAAAACACAGTTTTTGCTGCATCTCACCTAACTCAAGGCAGCGAACACATCTAAGATTCCTTTTTTCTCTTCATTTCAGAACTTCTGAACCAGGTTGTAAGTACATTTTGAGGGGTTGGTCATGACGGTAAACAGCCACTAAGCACTTTTTACTGTTTTCAGGAGTTCCATAGCAATGCCAGAGATGGAAAAAATTAATAGATACCTGGTACTGAAAAGTTTGGAGGGATGTTATAGCTAAAAGGCCTTGAATTGGACTCAGAATAAAATGGGAAATCAGTACAATTTGAAGAGTGATCAGTATTGATGGTTTATGTCAGTGTTTCTCAAACCTGACCCCTTTAAGACATGTGGACTTCAATTCCCTGTTTTTGGATGTCAGTAGCTGAGTTCACATATCTTTGTCCTGAATGTGTTTTGGTTGGGCCCTGTGTACTGTGTGTACCCAGTTCTTGCAGTCTGGTCTTGAGGATTTGTACCTTCATATGTTCTGTCAAATCACCAATTTTGTTTTCGTCAAACATTTTTACTCAAAAATCTCCCAATACGCTGTCAGTAGGATGGCTAGGAAATTCAGGGAATTGCTGTCCCAATGGATCTGGGGTTAGGGGTCAGGTTGGGGAAAGGGGTCATAAGAATGGAGGAATGGACCTCCAGCAGAGATGTTTAAGAACAGGGCTTTTCAACCAGTGGTACGGGTACCACCTGTGGTACCTTGGCACCTGGCAGGTGGTACGCGACCATCCTAGAAAAGTAGTGGGGGAGGGGAATGAGCTGAACCGGTGGCAGCACCGCATAAGCCTGAGCGAGAGGTGGCTGGAGCTGTCAGGACTCAGCGGAAGCGCCAGGATCAGCGCCAGGCTCCAGCTGATCAGTGCTTCTTCAGGGCTGTCAGGGCTCAGTGGAAGCGCCAGGATCAGCGCCAGGCTCCAGCTGGAGCTCGGCGCTGATCCTCGCGCTTCTGCTGAGCCCTGAAGAAGCACCAATCAGCTGGAATGTTGCAGCATGTGCAGGGTCCTGTGATTTACATTCAGATGCTTGGCAACTGATTCATATTTATGACAGTCACAGTGTCCCAGGATCATGGGAAGTGACCAAAACCTGCTGCAACCACCCAGCAAACGGGGGGAATAAAAACCAAACACCCCCCACCCCACCTCCGCTGCCAATCTTCAGCAGAAATGCTCACAACAATGAAAACCTCGGATAGGAGGAAGAGCCCCGCCGGGCGGGCAGGCAGGTGTCTTGCTTGGCTGTGGCTTGGGCACTTTTTCAGTGCCATTGTAACTTCAGTCACTAAACGAACTGTTGTAAGTCGAGGACTACCTGTACTTTATCACTTTTTTCCTTTTTTTTTTTTTTGGTCATCAAGTTTTTGACACCTTGCTAGGCGACTAGTGGTACTTGGATATTGCCATATCCTAAAAGTGGTACAATGGGTGAAAAGATTGAAAAGCCCTGTTCAAGAAGGCTTGACCCAAAAGCAGAGGGGTTTGCTACTTGCACTGCAGAAGCCAAACCAGCCACTTCATGGTGCTGTTGCCTCATGAATGAAATTAAGGCCACATCTGCCTAGCATTGTGTTTCTCAAGTTTGGCAACTTTAAGATGTGTGGACTTCAACTCCCAGAACTCTGAGAAATACTGAAGGGGCCTCTTGAGTTTCCAGACTTGAAGAACTGGCCAAATGCACACCAAAGGCCTTTAGTAAGGAAGAATGAAGCCTCTTTGGATTGTGTGGGTGGTTTCCATTTCTTTCCTTCCAATTCTGTTATCCTGGTTCACTTTTCAGTTTTGTCTCTTCTCCTTCTTTTTAATAGTTTATTTGTAAAACATCTGAAAGTTTTCCCCAACACTGTGCAATTTCATGCTGTAGTTTGGATTCCATTGTTGGGAGCATTTGTTTCGGGTTGAGTTTTCCACTCAGTTACTATAACATTATGAGATGTTTTAGTACCCACCTGTACTCCTCTTTGCCATGCTACCTGACTCCTAAGTATCAGGTCTTTCAAGGAGAAAGGTGATTTGATAGCTTTACCTCAAGCAAATGATACACAAGAGAAAACCAAATCAGGATGTTTTGATAAATTATAGATTAGGGAAAGGACCATATTTATCAAAACGTTTACTGATTCACAGGTAGCATCAAATTTGTCAGCAGATCCAAGAGAGAGTAATAGGGGATGTTAATCTTTACTATTGTGGGAAGTCAGCCCCCCAGAGAAGGAAATATTAAAAGGGCAGGAAAATATATTTCCTCAAAGGATCTTAAAGAGGCAGAAAAGCATGCCCAGTTTTTCTTAATAGCCCCAAGTCTCCCTCCCCCAAGCAGAAACCAGCTCTGTAGAAATGCAGATGTAAATAATCCAGGAAGGTTGGAGGCCCCCAGCTAGAAGATTAAGAAGACAAAGACACCTAAAATCTATATACTCCACCCAAACTCTAAGACAGGACATAATAGGATTAACCCACAGATGCCAAAGGGACACAGGTCAAAATACGTGACACAGGAAATACAAAGCCTCAAACAGGAACAGGAAACAAACTCAAGAGCCCCAAAGGGTATAAAAATCCACTCCCTACATGTGCTCTTCTCTCTTTTCTTCCAGAGCCATCTTTCTGTCTGGCTCTCCTCTTCAATAAACTGCAACCTTCTTTCTAAAGCAGTCGCCATGTTGTTTATTCCCAGCTTGGACTGAACCATCATGAAGACTTTTCCTTCAACACTATGATTAAAATCATAGCCTATAGGTTTGCAGACTGAGTCCTTCATAATACCTTTATCTTCTAATGAGCATAGTATACTGTCTAGGTCTGACCAGCAGGTAGTCCTCAACTTATGGCCACAATTGGGACTGGCATTTCAATCACTAAGCCAGGGGATTGTTAAGTGAATCGTGCCCGGTTTTATGACCTTTCTTGCTGCGATCTTTAAGCAAATCACAACGTTGCTAAGCAAATCTGGCTTCTCCTGTTTGCTTGTGAGAAGCCACTTGGGAAGGTTGCAAATGGTCATCAGATGAAACCCAGGCTGCTGCAACCATCTTGTGGCCAAGTGGCTGAATTTTGATCACAGGACCATGGGGACGCCGTGGGACCACAAGAACACTGCGTCCTTGTGGTTGTAAGAGTGAGGATTGGTTATAAGTCACTTTTTTTCAATGCCGTCATAACTCTGAAGGTGTTAAACAAATGGTTGAAGATGCAGACTACCTGTAGTAGGTGCATTTTAAAATTTCACATCATAGGGCAAGAACCTACTAAAGCAGGATCATAGCCGC